AGGGTGGCTCATTGTGATACAGAGATACGAGCCGTAAATAACTCATAGGAAAATAAAAAAAAGGTGCTAGTGACCCCTCCTCCACTACTGAGATGAAGTAATCAGAGATTAAGATCTACTGTACTTCTTCTAAAAGTCAGAATGGATTAAAAAGTGGGTAACAGGCCACCCTCAGCTTCCTACCAGCCCAGGTCTTGTGGAGAAAGCCAAGTATGAATGTATAAATATTTTATCAATATACAGTATGACCTTCCCAAAGCACAGAGAAAGGCTTCACATCGCACTGATTAGGACTATCATTTTTCTTCCTGTGAAAAATAAAATAAAATAAAATGTGAGCAGAGCCTGAGGCAGAGTTTTCTTTTTTTCCCTTTGACATTTACAAAACAAACCAAAGTGGAACTGGATGTTGGTGTTAAGAAAATACCAAGTTGTCTCTGAGCAAATTTTGCCAGAGCTTTAGCTACTGTATCTGTATGAGGGGTTTAAAAATAACCTCCGTGTCTCGCAGCCTGGCTCTGCTTTCTCATTACCGACTGTAATTAACACTAACCATACCCTGCCAGCTTCGCATGACGCACCAGACTCTACAGAACTTGTTTCTTCTACACAGGCTTTGTTGAGGTTTTAACCAAGTTTTATAACCAGAGTTTCAGCACATTTCTCGAGCAGATTTAAAACTGTTTCGCTTTGTTTTGTTTGTTTCTCACAGACTGTGTCATCTAGTCTTACAATGGTAATCAGAATCTTGACACAGAAATGGTAATATTTTTTAATATCGTGATAGCCAACACACACCATAAGAAGCTAACGCTGGCAGCATGGTGAAATGCACTAAGGCATTAAGTGGCATTCTGCAGGGTTACTTGTAATGGTTCTATCGTTCGTTATGCTGTTGAAAGTAGATTTACAGTTTGCAATAATTGTTGATAGGAAAATTGCCTTAGTGTAACCAAGTAGGCAAGGTTACCTGCAATATTGCTGAGAGAATCAGAGATGCACACTATTGATATTTATGGTGCAAATGCTGTAACTGTTACAGAAGTCTTGATCTCTTCTTTCTAGCTGAAGGACTCACTGCCCAGTGGAAAGATCTGTGAACCTACTTTCTTTTTTAATAAAAATCCTGACCTGTCTGGCTAGCAGAATAGTTAGCCAAAAGTCTTCAAGCGATCATTACAAAGATTGCTGACTATTAATTCCCGACATTTATTGATAAAAGATAAAAGAAGGAATGAATTGCTTAGTATGAAAACAGACTGATAGCATTTAATAAAGAACAGCATGTCCAGGTAAGCAGCAAGGATTCTGAAAGCAGCCTGGAAGGTTTATGAGAACATGAAGAGATTAGATCAGAGGGTCTTACTAATGGCTTAAGCTAATTCTTAGTGAGGAGTCTGGACCCAGAGGCACTGTCTCTGTCTTCATGTATTTTCATATTTTTTGCTTTACAAAAACAGAGGTCAAGGGGCTTCAAACCTCATCCTGTGTGTTTGTTTTGAACATGGGCGTTGTCCCCAGTCGAAGTAAATAGCTCCTAGCCACAATCTGAGGTACTTAATTACCTCTATCATTCTGGGAAGCTATAGCTCCATTTTAAATGGGCCAGCTATACTGCATTTACTATAGCGAGCTCATTAAAAATTGAACAAGGTCAGAAATGATACTCTTGTCTTCATTATTCATTGTGCCCTTAATTTCAGGTATTATTTCATTAATCTTATATAAGAAGGCTGTTTAATAATTTACCCTGACATTTTGTTGTCAGGTAACATTATCTACTATTTCTATGGCTGGCTGCCAATTAAAATTACTTAAGACTAAATGAAGACTCTGGCACAGACAACACAGATAACATTCAGTGTTCCGGACTTCATTGTCTGTTGGAAGTAGCTTTGTATCTTCCTGAGCCTTAAGTGTACAGTTAAGTTGTTTAGTTCAGTTTTAAGACCTATTCCCTGCATGTAGGGATGAACAGGCTTCAGGGTGGAGCAGTGATCAGGCCTCTGGAGTCCATGCTGGAGGGTTGTAGATTCAAATCCCAGGTGAGGATGGTCATGTTGTACCCCCGAGCAAGGCACTTTGCACCAGCAGCTCCAATAACTTCTCTGCTGTATGACCGTCTCTCTCGCTGCAAATCCAAATTTAAACCTACAGAAAAACATACAGGGTGGCACAGTGGTGCTGTGGTTCTCATTGCTGCCTCGCAGCACTGGGGCCCTGGGTTAAATTCCAGACGTGGGGTGCTGTCTGTGTGGAGTTTGTATGTTCTCCCTGTGTTTGTGATGGTTTACGCCAGACGTTCTGGTTTTCTCCCACAGCCCAAGGGCATGCTGGTAAGTTAATTGGCATCCCATCCAGAGTGTATCCTGCTAGTTGCTTGCCGGGACAGGCTCCGACTCCCCCCTGACCATGTAGTGGATAAAGAGGTTAGAAAATTGATGGGTGGATGGAAAAATATACAGAAATTAAACAGAATGCAGTCTTTAAAGTGCGATACACATTGACACAACATTGTGGCATATGGTGCTATAGATGAGGAGCATATGGAGAAAATAGAACATTTTATTCTTATCAAATGCCATCAAGGCAAGAGGGGAAATAAAGTCTTTCCATTTGCTTTGAGAGGAAAAAGGAATAATAGAAGGACTCTCGTCTGCTTCAGAAACACAATGTTCCCCTCGCTGTATGTGCTGCTATATTTCAGCAGGCATGTCTGAGACGTGTTAAAGGAATCACACACACGTGTTCTACCCGGGAATCCTGATTCGAAAGGTCTAGGAAAGATCAGAATCAATAGGAGAAAAAAGAGGTGCAAATACGTTAGCAGAGCACGGTTGGTTTACAAGCGAGGGAAGGCCATCTTCTTATCAGAGGTGATTTCCCCTGAAACAGAAAACATACCGCGCCATCACAGATCTGGCAGGGGAGGGGGCATTTATTGACACCCTGGCAGTGATGAGAGGGAGGCTGATTGCCTTTCTTGTCAGGGCGTCTGGGAGCTGACTGACTGAAAGTGTGCTGGGTCAACCACCAGCACACGACACCTGCGTTGAGGTCAGACAACAGCTGAGGGGGATCCTGTAGGTACTTTCTTTTAAAAAATCCCTCTAAATTTTTTTTTGGTTTGATGTAGTACAGCAGGTTTTTACAGGTCAATTCAAGATATCACCTTGCTTAAGGCCTGGGATACCTGTCCATATGGTCAAATGAAGACGTTAAGGACAGAAGACTCTGCTGTCATTAGGGCCTGAGGCTGTGGAAACCATGTTCAGCATATAGTCCAGAAAAACTGTGCTGATATTGTTTCCTTGTGTAGAAAAGAGTAAAAAATAAAGAGCACAGAGCTGTGGGGTCTGGAACTGAAAGACCCTTTCAGGAAGCAGCTGGATTGTAAGACTGGCTGAAAGGCCTCTTCTCTTCAGTTGCATCCACTGTAATGGTTTCAATGAGGGGGTTTCCATGTGGCTCGACCAGTAAAGTCACTCACTCGGATGGCAGCTTGCAGTACGCAATCCAGGTGTCGCAGGTTCGAGCCTGGGTCGTGTCAATAGCGGGACGTGAGGGGGATTTCCTGAGTCGTGGCTCGTTAGCTCATCAGCACAAGGGTGTGGGCTGGCGTGAGAAAGCCCGGCATCTGCAGGCCTGGGCGTTGGTGAGGGCCGGCTCTCCCCCTCTGTGGTGCTAGGCGGCAGGCAGCGTGTCAGGAGATGATTGGCCCAGCAGCTGGCCAGGTCACAGGGGCTTGTCTGCACCTCCTCATTCCTGCGGATGGAGGGGAAGGCACCGAAGTCCAAGGCATAGAGACACGGTGGGAATTCCTGTCTGGCAGATCTATAATAAAAAACTGCTTATTCTCAATTTAAAAGTCAATAATCACTAATGCATGTTGCAGCAGTGAATCTGGTTAAAAAAATCTTTTAACCATGTCTTAATTCATGTTTCCCATCAGGAAAGGTTTTAACCATAATCACAAACTCTCTTATTCTCACTCTCCTTCAAGGAGACCTCTTCTCGTCTGGAGCCTTTCTTCTGTTCTTACATTGCTGTGTTTTCTACAGCTCCGCCACCTCCTCTTTAGGTACCTCTGTAAACCGACGGCAAACAAAATAAATACGCTATTAAAAGAAGAATCAATCATTCGCATGCAATCTAAAAATCTACTCCAGCTCCCTGCAAAGAAGCACAGGCTTAATTGACAGGATTTGGTGTGGTTGCGATTCAAAAGAAGCTGCAGCAGTGGCCCCAGTTTCTCGCTGGCAGGAGAGCTGACACCGTCCCCAGACTTGGGATTGAAATGCCGTGAAACTCAAGGCAGCCTCTGTGAGTAACCACGTTTGCCAGCTACTGTCCGTTTAGCAGTTTTCCTCATGTGCTGCAGTTTGCAGCATTGGTGCTGAGCCCGGATCTCCCCACACGTGCATGCGCACAGCACTCAGAGAGACGCAGCAGGTCCATTAGAGTAGGACCGAACAAAAGGACAGTAGGCTAACTGCAGCAGTGTGGGAAAAGCTGTAGCATGAACCAATAAAGATGGGATTTACCATGGGCCCTGGGAACAGCTGCCAGTTCATTTTTACAATAGCTAGTTAGTAAGAACTGTGACGTGATCCACGACGGGAACTACTAAAGCCCTGCGGCAGTAGTGACACCATTGTTTCCATCAGTGGCGATGGGATTGAAGAATGAATTAGCAGCAGATATGAAGGAAATGTACGGAAGTAACGCAAGTCAAGTCTGAAAGAGGAGGCGGAGAAAAATCTTTTTAGAACTGAGAAATGTTAGAAAGGGTCTCTATAAGGACAGACAGATGTTTCTGGGGAGACTAGCATTGCTCTTACCTAAGCCTCATAAATAAGGTTTATGGTGAGACAGGGAATGCCTCTTGGAGGCCCAGTTTCTTAACTATTAAAAAGGAAACAGTGTGATAGAGCACCAGGTGTGAGATGATTCTTTCCTGGCCTGGAATTATAAACACCTCAACACTTGCCCTGCTGTGGTAAAACAGCCTTTTTCTGTTTCTGCTCGCTTTTTTCACACTCTAGTCCCTACATCCAGAATGCCCTACAGTGTAAGTTTGGACTCCAGATAGGAGGACTCAGTTCCAACACCTCACATTTCCCTTCTCTGCCGGACACTTCAGCACTCTGCCTGCGTCTTCAGGTAGCTCCCTGGAGTACAAGATGAGCTGCGTTGGTTTCATCCTCCTCCAGGGCAACAAGCAGCAAAGGGCATCTCCAGAGGTGTCAAGATGGAAACTCAAAGACACAGATGGGTGTTAACGTTATACCTTGGCATTTGCATACTCTTATACTTTCTGAGAAAAAAAAACACCACAGCTTTATCTCTAGGCTTTTTCAATACCTGCATTTAATAATAATAATAATAATTGCTTACACATGTATAGCGCTTTTCTGGACACTCCACTCAAAGCGCTTTACAGGTAATGGGGATCCCCTCCACCACCACCAGTGTGGAGCCCCACCTGGATGATGCGACGGCAGCCAGAGTGCGCCAGAACGCTCACCACACACCAGCTCTCAGTGTAGCCAATTCATAGAGGGGGATTATTAGGAGGTCATGATTGGAAAGGGCCAATGGGAAATTTGGCCAAGACACCTGGGTTACACCCCTACTCTTTTTGAGAAGTGCCCTGGGATTTTTATTGACCACAGAGAGTCAGGACCTCAGTTTTACGTCATATCCGAAGGACGGCACCTGTTTACTGTACAGTGTCCCCGTCACTATACTGGGGCATTAAGACCCACATGGACTGCAGGGTGAGTGCCCCCTGCTGGCCCCACTAACACCTCTTCCAGCAGCAACCTTAGTTTTTTCCAGGAGGTCTCCCATCCAGGTACTGACCAGGCTCACACCTGCTAAGCTTCAGTGGGTTGCCAGTTGTGAGTCGCAGGGTGATATGGCTGCTGGCAACATTTGACTGAAGTTCCCCACCAGGAGACCTGTCTTCCTCCAACTAATCAAGCTTCACCCAGAACTGAAGCCGTTTAGTGCTCACCAGGTTTGTGTCTCACTTGGGCTTAGCACACAGGCTTTAACAGTTTGATGTCAGCAAGAAGACACGTGCCCTTCCTAATAGGCTTTGGTTGTCACAGCTCCCACTGCATTTTCTCAGTCTGTTTAGCCATTTTCTGTTTCCAAAACTGTGAGGGCTTTGGTTCTGACACAGGAAGCCCTTTTCCCCCATTTTCCACACCTGCTGGATGTTGCTTTTCCTTGGAAGTTTCTATAACAAAACAAAACATAGACTTGTTTTTTTTCATTAAAAAGTGGACAAACATAGGGAAGTCAAAGAGAATATCTGAACATTTCTCTAAAGGTGTCCGATGGCAGGCTAGCAGTGCCCCATGGTAGGTGCTTTGTACTTGAGTGTTTTTATGGTTTATCTTTTAATTTTACCACCTGAAAACAAAACCACTCCACCCTCCAGTGTGTTCCTCAATGCGGGGGAAATGAATCCTGCGACCGACTGACGGACAAGCCCGTGTGCTCCTGGGTTTGCCTGTGAAAAATGAATGCCCAGTATGGGTCCACTGAAGCACACAGTGCTCTGGTATTTACAAAGCTCAACTGCAAAGTCAGTCTTGGCTGAGTACACATGCTCTGCAATAAATAATTTGTCTTTTATCCTGTGATAGGTGAATATGCTTCCTAGGACAGCGTATTGTTGTTTTGCTGGTCTACGTCTGCCACAACTGAATAAACACAGACAGCACAGGGGGTTTGCCATCCTCTTGCCAGGTGATAATGGCAGACTTTATTCCAGTCACGCCCTTGGCAGCTTTTAATGCTGCGTTAGCAAACATCCGTCTGTCTGGATCCCAGTGAAGGAATACTCATCTCACACTTTACCACCTAAACAGGTAGCCCAGTCCAAAGATAAAAAAAAGAATATTCACCCTTTCTGACTCTGTATTAGACAGACCCTGGCAAAACCTACAGTATCAATCTCTCAGACAGCAAGGTTGTGTTTTGAGAACCACTCTCATCAGGGCGTTAAAGGTGCCATTCCTTTTTTACCAACCCTTTTCAGATCTGCTCATCCTGTACCTGCTGCTACTTTCTGCTCCATGAAACCAGCCCCTTCGCTCTGATTCCTTCCTCTTTTATTTTCTCTCTTTTTTCTCCTTTCACACAGGTAAACAAAAGGCAGACACGGGGGATTTGAACAGCATCTGTTTGCCTGGCACAGGTAATAAATTTGCATGTCAGGCAAGCACGTCTCAGATTAAAAAATGTTTTGTTTCAGATGATTTATGAGGCCCCCTGAAGTCTGCTGGACTTGGCAGGGAATAGTCGCGTTTGCCTGGTGCAAATTGGGGGAGGGGATCAGGGGGGTTGCTACAGAAAGACTGATCTCTACCTGCCTCATACAATACTTTCTCCTTCCATTAATCAACAAGAAGCACATTCAAAAAATAAAAAGACCAGAAGGAACAAAGTTGTCCCTTTTCTTTCTTTTTTTTTTGAAGTCTAACTCAACGTGGACACTGGAGGACTCATTCTGCACATCCCGTGCCAACTCCCTGATCACCCTGAAGCCTCCTCCCTCACGTGAGCTGATATTTCAGGAGGCACAAGACCTCTGGTTCAGAGCCTTCAGCCTTCCCTCCAGCACACAGCTCCAGGTGAGCTGTGAGAGGAGCACAGAGGCAGAGAGAGCAGGAGAGAGGTACAGAGGCAGCTCCCACCAGGAGCAGTGCTCTTAGCTCCTCTTGTAATCCTACTGGAATTTGACACTCGTGTTCTGTGCTGGGGGAATGGAACTGAACATGGAGTTAAGAAGCCTTTGCTGGTATGGCTGGTTTCCAACTGTATCCATGGCAGTCCAGGGCAGGCACCGCAATCGTATACAAAAATCCTTTTGTTTTAAACTAACCCTATGACACATTAAAATTGTATGAGTGAACAATGCAAAGTTGGTGCATGCAACACTGTGCAGTGTAGCCATGAAGACTACAGGTTCTGGCCTTGTGTGTAATACGGGGCCTGATGCAGATAATCATGAGGTTATTGAAAAAGGCTCGAGTCTGCACATGGGGGGGGGGGGGGGGATGAAATAATATCACTGTTCTCATGACTGATTATTTTGACATGGTGGTACCCAGCGCTCTCCTGCAGAAACAGCTGCTTCAGCGCTGCACTTCTCAAAAAGGTGCTGAATGAATACAGGCACAATTGTCACATATTCTTATGGCTAAATAACAGTGCTTTTCGCTTTCAGCCCACTCCAGCACCATCAAGGTTAACTGTGAAAGTGTCCCAGATCTCTTAACGCCGCCTTTATCCGAGGTAGTGAGAGTGTCCTTGGGATCGACATTGAACACATTACAATGGAGGCAGCGACTGTTTGACTTTGATAGGAGCTCGGCTTTCACATGATAAACAACATTTGTTTTTTTTAACTGGTTCTGCGCCACATGGCTCTCTACTGGAGCAGATGCTGTGTTTCCTGACTGGCCTGGGAGTCAAGGGAATTGCAAAACCTTTTATTTGTGCATTCGTGCGTCTTGCTATTCTGCCTTTTGCCTCCCCTGGCAGGATTTAGGTTTTTCCGAGGTCAGAGCACTGGATTCAGAAGGGCTACAGAGCAAAAATAAGATGGGGAAAGTTTAAGAAAGGTAGCAACTGCAGTAAAGCATTGCGACTGTACAATAGCACATCTGCATATGAACTCCACAGCCCCTGTAGTCAACAAGCACAAGGTGATAAACAGCCTTACACACTGTGGTGAGTGGTGTGATAGTCCCAAAGGCTTTTATGCTATCTTGCAAGATCTAGAGGTTTGGTGGTTTCTTGAAATCTAGTGTTGCCAAGTTTGCAGAGAGACTGAGTGTAGAAGAGTTTTAAGATCCTACTTGCCCCTGACAAAACCGTCAGCTTGTTTCTTTCACCCTGCCCTGCTGCTTACTGTACCCACTTCGATCACCTGCTGACACCATGTAGCAAGATCAAAATGGCCAGACCGCTGTTCAAGTGCTGCCTCATCCCCACACGGCATTTCCTTCTTCCTGGCCTCCAAGTCATGGATTTGAAAATGCCCCCATTTTCTGCCCCCAGAAACCTGGCCATGATCGCTCACTACACAGTTTAACCTGCGTTCTGGCCTTTCTGCAGATTACAGAAAAGGAAATCAATGAATGCCACAGCCTTGTCACTTTCAAAATGACAAGTTGTTGTTTTCACAGTAAGGCAGGGTGATACTAGACACAAGGCCTAAACGTGACACATTATTGTTTACATGAGTATGAATAAAGCAGCCATTTTAGCAGAAGTGGGGGAAGAACAAATAAAATAATTTAAATTTTCTCTCTAAACTCAGTTTAAAATTGATTTGGATACTGAAAAAAACTATCAAATGGATTAAAAAAGGTTTAATTGAATTCTATGATTCTTCTTTAAAACAGTTTGCCCCCTATATGGGATACAAAGTGGATAGAAAATGGATGGATGGGAAAAGGTTTGCTTTTAATTGCCTTAATTGGTTTTTTTCTCATCTCCGCTGAGTTTAAAGGTTAACGATATGCTTTAATGCAGTTTCATAACACATTGTAAGACTCAGAATCAAGATGTCGGTCAAATCAATTTTTTTTTTCTTGAATTCCTAAGAACTAACATTTTTTTTCCAGAATGCATGTATGGGTAATGAGTGTGTATTTGGAGACCAGATGTTTCCATCTTTGACCCAAATCCAAAGATGCATGTCTTTCAGCAGTAGCTCATGAAGTAGTTCATGGATTCTCAAACCTGTGTGCTGCCCCCTAGGGGACAGGAGGTCAAAGCTTACCACTGGCTGATGGCAGCAGGGCCCTCTGTTGCCTAGGGGCTGGTTGAATCTGCACTTGGCCACAGCCACAGCAGCAGCTGAACCCCTATCAGCGTCCTGTCAGTGCAATGTGAAGAATGCGCCAGGAACGTGGTTCAGAATCACAGGGCATTGGAAGTGTTAATGTTTTCAGCTGTGTGCGAAATACTGTGCTGGGCTGGGACAGGGCTGGCCAGCTCTTTGAGTGTTTTAAGTTCTGGCTAGAATGCTATGGGAGTTCTGATAAAAACACAACAGAGTAATTCCACAAAAGGAAGGAGAGATGGGTGCGTGGCACATAGGTTGCTCAGAAGCCATCTGGTAATGAGAGGAGTTCTGAACTTTTTACACTGCGGAGCCAATTTCTCTTCCACACTCTCTAGATAAAGCCTAGATAAAATTCTCAATCCATGTTTCAACAAATACGTTGCCCTTTGTTAGGTCTGAACCACTGACAGCCATGCACTTGCTTCCTGAAAAATCTAGAGCGAATTTTCGGTCTGGATCAAAAACCTCTTCCTGGAAACATAAACATACAGCTCCTTTGTGCAAGTACAGTGTTAAAGATCCTCAGAGGTGTGAAATAACTCCTCCTGTGCTGTGACTTGTGGGCTGTCCTGCTGGAAAACAACACTGCTGGTTGAATCTCTGGCCAGGCTAGTAATCGATTCAGCTAAGACTATTCCGAATCAAACCTTATATTCTGTTAACATCATATAAGGCCATGCGTGGCCCTGAGTGTTTATATTTACAGGAACTACTGTAGCTGAAGAAGAAAGAGATCTCTGCCTGCAAATATGAATTCAGTCATTAGGTGCAAGAGACCTGCACTGGCTGTGTCGTGTGCCATCCTGCTCAGCCCTCCCCTCCTCAGGAAGTGCGCAGACGAATCTGCGGCTCTGTGATCGCTGTCACGGCAGCCTGGCCACAGCCCCGCAGAAGAGCGCGGAGCCGGCACCACGCGGCTCGACCTCGGCGCGGCCGAAGGACAGAGCGATGGAACGAGTCGGCGCGCAGCAGGAGCAGGGGGCAGGAGGACCACAGGAGCGTCTGGCCTGATCAACGACATCAGCCTGGATGGAGGGATGGAGCCGGGAGAATAAAGGAGATTTAAAGTTCACTCAGCACTTTGCTCTTATCGGTGGTGGTATTATATTGCTTGTTGCCCTCTAGATAAGCTTATTTACCATGGGATATGAGCTGGTGTGTGCTGTTGTAGCATGCCAAATGCCATGATCATTTCGGACTCATGGAAGTTGATGTTAGCAGGGGTTTTGTACTGCTGGTTTGAGCTGATAGGCACTCAGCTACTAGCAGCCAAATGAGCTAGACAAGCAGAATCCCCGCCTCCCTTTTGTAAACTTTCTTATGCTCTTATGAAATTTTCATTAGACAACAGTCTTCTAGAGCAGGTGTTTTACTATCTGTAACATAATTTAGCTTTTAATATATTTAATACTCTATTAATTCATATTCATCCATCCAAACCCTTCATGACAACAACATTGTTTTGCATCAGATGTTTGCACAGCGCCAAAAAGTCCATATGTGTGACTGTAGAGAAACGTGTGTGCGCAGAGAAACACACAAGACTTCTTATCCTCTCCACTGTGGTGAGGGGTGGGGATTGTGCTCTTAGGAATGAAACTAAAGAGCACATCTTAACACAAAGTATCATACAGGATGTGACTGAAACAATTCACTCAAGCATGTCACTGAACCTAATTCCCCAGAATCCTTCATGAAAAGGCTGGCAGAGAATCAGGGATCAATAAGCTACTAAGAGACTGAACAAGCAAGATGGGCTAAATGGTCTCCACATGTTAGCGACCTTTCCTGTGCTCCTGTGTTCCTGATATGAATTGTTCAAAACATCTGGAACATCTGGAACACAAAGTATTAGTCTATCCATGAGTATCTTATGACCCTTCAATGCTGAACTCTGTAGTTATTGGAGTATTAAAGCTTTTCCCTTAGGCCTAGGGTATAAATTGGTCCAGTAATACCAGGAGAACTTCAGAGAGGAAAGGCTTTGAAATGGATTGCTGTGGTGTAGAGTCACTGAAAACAATTAATTTTAGAAAACATGCTAATGGTCTTTAAACAGGCCCTATTCAATGCCATGTTTTCCTTTTTTGCTGAACATGAGAGTCGGATAGGATCTGTGTCAATGATGAGAAGTGAGAAGGACTTAAAAACTTAGCAGACTATACCACAGACAGTAAAACAGGAATTAAAATGTGCAGAGAAAATGGCTTTTAAATACATGAGTAGTTTGATTTTAAAAAGTAACTTTTGGTAAATAAGCATTGCTCTCAGTTAATCAAAGTTTCAGCTTGTGTACTAAAGAAAACTCATTTTAGTGTTCTTGTTAAAATCTCCTGGGGCTCCTGATGCCAGATGACAACCTTACTGCCCTAAGCACTGTGCTTCATCACCTGCTTGTCTTGGACGACTGCCCACACTTCAGCAAGCCTGCTCAGCCCTGGCAGGCAGGCTGGGAAAGTGGCAGCTGGGAGAGGGCAGAGATCAGGTAAGCTAAGGTTGGGCCGAAGGCTGCCCTCATGGTGCAACATACCAACCCGTGCAAGGAATGAGCACAGCCCTTCCAGAGATGACTCAAAAGACAGGAAGGAAAAACTAATGTATAACAGCTTATACAACCCCTCCTTGCTGGTGCGGTAGCAGTGAAAAGCTGTGCAGAACCGCATCTCTAAAGTCTCGTGTAAAGATCTTCACAGGCTTGTCAGGATTTCAGTCTCATCGTCACCCTAAAAAGGATAAGGACAAAGAGCGGAAATATTCCTGGAAACCCCTCAAGATAGATAACCATGACAATGAAATGACCATCTGCACATTGCTCTGCAGTGACGACTCTTGGGCATCATACTGATACCACGAGAAGAGATCGAGACCATGCTGTGTATGATGCATTCTTGGAAATTTCTGGAAAGACACAGAACCTAGTCCTTGGCCTTGCTCAAAGCCCCTTTAGGCACACATTACGTAAGGAACAACACCTTGCATGTGTGACATGTCCCAGAAGACACCCTCTTCAGAGAGCTGGCCTTTGATATAAAGCCAGTAGGATTCCCCCATCTCCAATTTAAAGATGTGTGCAAAATGACATCAAAGCACAAGATATTGATGTGGACAGCTGGGAATAACTTACACAGGACTGCAGCACGCAGTTGAGGCCTGAGCTCATAGGATGACGAGGGAAAATCATTCCATTTCAAAGAGGACAAAACAGCTCGCAGAAAGGAACAGGGTCACAATATAGACTGTCAACTTATTGGTCAGTGTAAACCCATGGCCTTTTGTGACTAGAGGATGCCAGAGATGTCATACATAGGCCAGTAGGCTTCCTCGCTGCTTAATTAGGTCACAAAACCACAGAGTAAGAATGCATTTCTAGTTTCCTCTGGACATTTGGAAGTATCCAGCACAAAAATAAAGTTTAACTTTGGCATTATATCATATGTATTACAAGATATCTGTGTAGCATCGTAGTGTATTTTTATACTTTTGTTTCACAAGTACCCAGATTTTCCCAAATAGGCATTCCAGTTCAGCAGTGGTTCCAAACCATGTCCGTCACATGTCTGTGATCGAATTTCCCATCAGCACCTGTTTCTGGTTCTCGATCCAGTATTTCAGTCAGTCAGCAAGACATTCTCATACCTGCTGTTCTCCTTCAGGTTCACATAACCTCATGTTTTACCCCATTTCACCAGGTGTCAGCCTGTCTATTCCTCTGCCAAAGCATATCAAGAAAGTGACCTCATGCTTTAGAGCTTCCAGGCTTCTAGATTGGCTGCTGAAATGAATTTCCCCTCCATTCCTGCCTTCTCCCAGACCTGAGCTGTGTTTATCACTATTTCATAGCTCTACGCCTCTTAGTCTGCAGCGGTCTGTCCTCTAGATATGCTGTATGTTCTGAGACCAGCACAGCTTGCAAGACACTTACCCCTTGATATCCTCAGCGGAAACCCACATAATTAGTGGCTCTTTAATTTCCTTGGATCAATAAGACATTTTTCGCACTTACAGCCCTTTGTGCTTCTTCAAAGTTCAGCTTCATCTCAGGTGCAACAAATACAATAGCGACAGCTTCAAAGAAATCATCAGGCCTGGAAATAATAACCAGGTAATATTACATTTTCTTCACTTCCATTCTATATTCATCATTATATGCACAGTTTAAGAAATAAACACATTTTAATCGCACACGGGCAGTCACAGTATTTTAACTGATCACTCTAGGGAAACGATATTTACAATGTGGCTTACCTGCTGGCATCTTGAATTATTTTACTAATTCAGATATTGGTGCTCTGTCCAAAGAAGAGCAACCACAAACACACCTGGGATTAAAGGTATCCCAGCTAAAAACACTCATATTTTTGGTCTTGAACAGATAGGATGAGGAAGGGCCTTGACTCAAGAATTGAAGATCCTCAAAGGTATCCTGCCAAATGGACATTTCCTTCAGAAGAAGGAATGGCCACAGTGGAATAGGAACTAAAGAATCCAAGTGGAAAGAACAGGAAAGTCTCATTTAAACTGAGAACAGGACATGTCTATGCAAGGGGGAGTGTGGAACAAGCTACTCTGTCATGTTGTTGAAGATCATTCCCTGTCTTCTTTCAAGTAAGGGCTGGACGAGATTCTCAGACCTCGGATTAGCTATCAGCAACCAAACAAGCTCCTTGGGCCAAATGGCCTCCTCTAGTTTGCAACATTTCTTCTGTCCTTTTTAGGAAAAGTGTCCCAGGCCAGACTTTTGTGGTGACCTAAAATTGAACCTGTGTCTGAACTGGGGCTGTTCACGAGGTCTGGCTCCAGTTGTCATTCACGCAGTGAGAGACCACCAGGTAAGTCACACAGTAATGCTCTTTGCTCCGCAGATATCACACAAGCCCCGTGCTGTCTGAATTCCTCCTATCTGAATGCAGTAGTGAGATAACAAAATCGTTTTGATCAATCTGTTATATCCCATTAAAAGAAATCATGTCCAATTTTGTCCTTGGATGTACAAAAAATGCCCTTTCCTGTTCTATATTGTAGCACCTGAAGGCTAGAGAACAATGGAAGACAAGGCTAATTTTTTTAGAGCAAGAAACCAACATCATTCTGGTTTGGGGAGGAAAGAGTGAATGTCCCTGCACAGGGAAGAGAATGCTTTGGGGTAGGAGAGCGAGATGGAGAGAGAGATTGATGGAGAGAAGCGAGGAGCTGGGAGAGGGGGGGATCAGAGAGGATCTCTCAGACAATGAGAAGGAGTTCATTCTTCTGGCAGGTAACTACAGAACCAGGCTGCCATTAATCTTAAACAAAAATGCAGCCCCCAGCCTCTACTGCTAAATAAATAATTAACTGAAGAAGAAAAGAGTGAAACAAGAAGGAGAGAAATACGTTATGCTCTGGAACAGAAGATATTAATAGAATTTGTGGACCAATGTTTTGTGTGTTCAGTCCAGCTGCCTGTCTATAAGAGTACTGAAACAATTCACTGAGCGTTTAAACAAAACAGCAGGCGTGGATCCACTCCTAAAATCCAGGTGTGCCAAAGATTCCCTTTCACACTTGATCCTCCACATAACATTTTGGATTTGTTTTTTCCAAAAGAATACCTGTAAGCTGTACATTGAAAAATTCTCTACATCAAAACATAAAGGCATGGCATGTTCAAATTAACAATAGGTTTATTCCATGCTGAAAAGAGAATAAAAAAACACAATGTTTCAGGTGTGAAGGCTTCATGGCCGAAACTTTGTGTTTTCTTTCTTCTCTTTTCAGCATAGAATAGACCTATTACTTGTTCCATGCAGATGCAGCTACCCACCTGAACATGTTCAAATCAAGACTATCATGGACAAAGTACTGAAAATTCCTGAGCAAAAATTGCATTCAAAATTATACACATGCAGATGGTATAGTAGTTTAGATGAGCATCCGGTAAAATAGAGCTCCAAAAGACTTAGACTGTTAGCTTCAGTACTTTGTTCTGTTGGCTACTGTGCCAATACACAGCTGCTATACTGTGGAGATTTTTCTGAAGAGAGAGCTCTGACTTGTCTGAAGGGCCCCGTGTACAAAGCTTATGTGAGGTCTTGATGAGATTTCATCCAGCTGGACACGCTAACTTTCCTTCATGTGCATTATGGAGGATTTCATACAGAAATATGTGATTTGTAACCTTTTTTTCCTGTTTATTCTTGGTATAATAGCACTAGAGATAAAGGCATAGGTCTTACATTCTGATGCTGTTTCTGAGGTTTAGAGAGCTCAGTGCGTAGCAGAGCTCAGTAGCTTAAATTGATCAGAATTTACTCATTGCCCTAAATTCTCATTCTCTTTCATTGTGTCACCGGAACGAGCAGCAGTGAGACTGCTCAGAGGAGAAAAACAGGATTGACACAGACATGGATCAGGATCAGAATGGGAGAAGCAGCACCAAGAAACACCATTAGCCTAGAGATTAGAAGAGGCGCCACACCTTAATGAGATTTGATTTTCATAGAGAAAAATGCATTTATGTTTGAAAAACCTTATGTGATATAATTAATACATACAGTTGTGTGAAATCTCTGGACAACACAACCCAATGAAAAACAATTTCTTCTATCAAATTTAAAATTGTCCTCAATTCCCCTTGAAAGGGTTTTTCCATTAAATCAATTCAGGCAACACAAAGATAAAGACCACAGGATTTGTATGATGCATGTGTTGAATCGAGGCCCTTGCTCACAATATCTGAGCTATCATCCCCAACAGAGAAAGTCACCCATTCAATTGATTGTACATTTGATGGATTATAACCACAGCATAACAGATGACAGAGTTCAAGCAGCAGTGAAGATGAACACTCTAAAATGATGAGATATTGTATAAACCCACATTTCAAGAAGTGTGAAAAGCTATTACATGCTGATCACAATCCAAGTTTACTGTATCATCATTTTATTATTATTATTATTATTATTATTATTGAAATACACAATTGTTTTATATTCTTCATGTGTGAGGTCTTTGGGAATCAGCTTCTTCACTACAGGGGAACTACAGGGAAACTGTCCTGTGCGTTTGCTTTTGTTTATCACTGATAAATAAAATTCTTAGCACAAGTCAAATTGGGTCAAATCAAATTTGTTCAGCTCCCAAAATGGAAAGAACCCTCTTGTACAACAATTACAGACGGATTGCACACAGTGCAATAAGGAAAGCACATACTTAATTAGTTGTATGACAGTCCCTGAACCAACTACAGTAGGTACATGTGGCATTTACCAAAACTAGCTTCCAGTGCAGTGGAAGACGTGCTGTATTAACTATTATATTACTCTCGGTAATACCAAAATTACTTGGTGGAAGATTGGACACTTCCTGGAAAAGGCCAATGATGTTTTTTTTCTTATGGAGAATTTGATCATTTGAGTGCATTCAATATAGGAGTAGTCAAAACAGTTTAAAGATTGAATCTGGAGAAGTACTGTAATTCCTACACAACCAATTAAAATTCAGAGGATCTAAAGTGGGTCAAAATGCAAAGACAGTCAAAGCACAGGTTATGCCCTGTATTTCAGACATCACCAATTCAGACCTGGGCTATACGAGGCCTGTACTCCAGACATCTAGAGTTCAGACATGGGCAATGTTCCCTCTGATTCTTAATGGCCTTTTATGGGCAAAAATTTCCCCAGTGAAAAAAACTTGTGCACACTAAATTGAGTGTATGTAAAATGATAAACCTCAAATTATTTTTTGTTAATATAGACATTCTCATAGAAGCATAGAGATCCAAAAGACCGGGACAGTGATTCTATGAGCCCAGTTATAGAGACTGAGTGTGGAGCGAGCATGAGCAGGGAGGTACAAGACTACGAGAGCACAGATATCGATGATCTAGTAGCAATAATAATGCACCCAGCCAAGTTGGGCCTCTCGCGGCCAGTCTCGTGGTCAATTTAGCATTTTTCAATTGACGACCTTGTTTGTTTTATTATTATCATATTCAATTTCCTATGTGCGCACTATACATTACTAATACACTATATCTGCTATCCTCACCAGTCAGTAGACATCACATTAATGAGCTATGCTTCATTTAACCCTTTTATGCATGGCCAAAGAAGAATCTACTTAAACAATCTTAGAAGCACTTCATATCTAAGAATGCAGACAACCATTTGTAATCATCCAAGTTTGGATGATCATCATCCAAACATCCATTGGCAATCATCCAAGTTTGTCTTAGATTTTGTAAGGAATTCAATAAAACTTACATTCTTCTGCATGTTGCCTTTGCTATTTGCTATCTTGCCTCTGAAAGCCTTTAAAAAATTTCAAATACATTTTTTTCCAACTCACCAACTTTTAAAATTGAGTATTGTGTTCAAAACTCCCTTCAGCAAACGCAAGAGTAAATTTATGAGCATAACGTTCATTTCCCCTGGTCCCTTATTGTGTTCAGTGACAGAGGCAGGTCTGTGGTGCACGGAGCCGAATGCTCCTGCCAGCCTGACTGATATGCCTTTTATTGTGTCGTCCTCTGGCTCCCGATTCTCCTCAGCATGACCGATTGCTCTGCGGTTCAATGTTCACCCCTGCTCACCTGGCCAGTGTGTTGCACAAGCCTGCAACCTGATCTCCTTGGCTAAGACCCCCCTGTGACTGTGCGCCTGTGATTGTGTTAGAGACGGACTGTGAGTGTCGGAGCAAAGCACTGGAGACTGGGGAGCCAAGGCTTTCAAGGCAGCTGCACTAAAAGAATGAGGCCTGATGGGAAATGAAAAAAAAAAATCTGGGAGGATTTCCAGCCTGTATCTGGGCAGAACAGGTGGCGGTCTCCAGCCAACACCCTTTTGGAAGGGCAGTGATGTTATATTATATATCTGTGAGTGCACAGGATGGATTGCTGTCAATACGGGCTCTGAAGTAACGCTGCTTGGCAGTGTGGTGCCCTTTGGAAAAGTGCAAGTCCATGCAAGCTGACAGCTCACCTCCAGAGACCGAACACGCACGCTGGTTTGGAGGTATGTGCCCAGAGCTGGACTGGAGTTAATCCAAACAGCAAATGCACTCGAAGCCCACACCATGTACAGTATGGATATGAAATCTAAAACTTTGCCAAATAAAGCTGCAGCAAACTACAATCTACATTTCCCGCTTATTGGTTAAGCCTTTAACCTTCAATTTACATGCACGGATGACTAGAGAGCCAGCGCACAGTGGTTCAGTTGGAGAAACCTCCACACACCCCCGGCGAGCGTTTTGAGAATACAGGGGAGATGTTGTCAGCTGGATACATGTGGAACTGGGGAATGAGGCTTCCAAGTAAGGAATAAGCTTTAAATTATACAAATTATATTCTATGGCAACAGCCTAGGTAACAGCTCTGATAACACCCAGAGTAACACTCAGAGACTTCTAAAACAATAGCCTAGGTTTTGTGCATGCCTTTAACTGCAGTGTGTAAAAATGAGCTTGAGCAGAATGCAAAGGAATGACCCCATTTCCAGTGTCGGCTTTCAGGTTCGCAGTTCTCCTATTGGTGAGCAGTGTTGGCAGAGAGAAAACATTTCTTCAGCTAGAGGAGGCCAGACCGCAGGCTAATGGACAATTAGGGCCCCAGAAGAAGATCTGAAAACTGTGTTAATAAAAAGTGAACAGCCTTTGATGTTCAGATTGCTTATGTAGCACACTCATAAACATCCCACTGTGGGTTTTTAGTCTGTACAAGGAGACCTGTGAATTTACAGTATCTGCCTAAATAAGCTCTTTATCCATCTAGTGTTTTAGTGGAATCTCAGAACCCTAACTGCTTACAATTAGTGTCATGTCTTCTACTTCCAAGTGAAAGGGCAGATGTGTGTTTTCTTACTCTTGCAAAGTCATTGATTGTGGTAAATAGGGTAAATCAGAGAGAAGAGAAATGACAAGCCCTCAAAAAAAGTAATTTAAATTATTATAGAAAAGTCATTGAGACCTAAGCAATAGATATGGATTGTTTATAACAAGAAATACATTTCTAGTACACTTTCTCTCTCATTTTCCAAAACAAGAGTACTCTCAAGGTACTCAGTCAACCTGTCAAGAAGTGTAGAAATCCTTGACAATTTTGAAAGCAAATGGATACTTCATATGTATTTAAATAACACACACAATGCAATTAAAAACTGCTAAAGAGTTTTAGAGTATACATTTCTTGTGGTAATGTATAGTAATGCAATGCATATTGGTGATACATATGGAGAAATTAAAGTGCACTTCTAATGATGGGATGGCGTTTATTCAATTTTATGAATAAATTGCCCCTTTTTTGGTTTTTGATACAGGAAGCAAAGTGAAGCCAGTCAGACCCCTATTCTGTGTCCTATCTGTGGTTTACGATACCGAGTGGCAGAATGATAAATTCATCAGGGTCTGTTACAGTGTGAAAGAATTATTGTCAGGCGCTGCAGAGGCTGGGATTAATGGCTAGGGCCCCAAAGGTATAGAGTAATTACACCGGATTAGGAAAGGAAAAGCCTTTAAGTAAACAGGGAGGTCAGTCTGTGTGTCTGGGCCCAGAGAGCTGGCAGAACAGGTGAAGGAGGAGAGTGGGTGACTGAGCAGAGAAACAGGTGGGTCTGGAAACGGAGAGAGAAATGATGATCCTGCTGAACACAGCCCTGTTGAACAAGGTATCCTAACAGAAGACAGCAAGATGAATTCTGGCCATTTAGCAGGCTCGTCCCGACCTGAAAAGACTCCTTCCTCTTCACCGGTCCCCAGCATGTGCAATCAGCTCGCTGGCGAGCCATGGAAAGAGCAGATGTTGAAGTTTACCACTACTTTGATTACCCTCTAATTATTAAACCAATATTATTACAGTCTCTGATGCCACACACGTCTTGTTGGAAGAGGGGTGGGACGGAGTGAATAACTCCAGTAAAAACAAATCTGATTCTGAATGTTTACCAGCACCTCCCTCTCCATTGACAGAAGGAGCTGTAACCCAGCCTGCTGCCCCTGCTTCAACAGTCACGCAGCGACGGACTACAGATATTTCAGAAAATAAATCAGAGGTGTAGGTTTTATATTGCTGTTTTACTATCTTTGGACCATTTATTTTTATAGTACAGTTGAATTCCTCTCCAGTGCACAGCCAAGAACTGTTCCATACTGGCTAATATTCAGGCAGCACGACAGAGTAGCAGTCAGTTTTGGTGTGACTACGCATCAGGAGTCTAAAGTGCGTGGAGCCCACTGGGTTAGTCTGCACACTACACTGTTTTTCCTTGTGGTGATGAGCACCAGCAGTCATGACACACAGACCCCCCACTCCCACAGAGGCAAGAAGATGTGAATCAGATTACGGTTTAGGCAGCTTCACCCACTACTCCTCGCACTATCTCAAAACCAGTTTGCACTCAGAGCACCCAGACCACAGTCAGCCATCCCCACCACAGACACAGCTACCCAAAAGAACATGAAAATTGTATTTTTGGACTCCAAAGAATGAACCTGCATTATATAACACAAACACAACAGACACACCATCACTGAGTGCTCTTCCATGTGATTTCCAGTAGAACACATATTTTACCCTAAGCAAAGTGTTTTATTTCCTCAAATTAACAGAAAACAGTGAAGCCTCCATTGAAGATGAGCTTCCAACTGAACTGAAATCCACACACCAACTTCCTAAAGAAGACAAGCTCGCTGAAAAACAGAAAGTGAGGCCGTAGCGATCAACATCACAGCTGATACAACTGCAACGTTACTGCAGAAGAATTTAAAATCACATCCCAAGTGCAGATCTGAACCTTAAAGTGCTGGGTTTCTAGGCCAGCATGGGCGTTCACAGTGTAGTCGTTACCTAGAAGTCGTGCACAAAGCCTAAGAAGTTAAACGTTTGAATTGCCAGAGAAAACGTGGATCTGGAGGGGAAAAGGCCCTCGCAATCAGACAAGTGTAACTCACAGAATACGCTCAATCACTAAAACAACGAAACAACGAAACAACAAAAAACAGGATCTAACTCTCAATGTGTTGGGAAAGCTGTCCAACAACATGCTACAAACCATATGAGCTACATAAGGGCTCACACGTGTGCACAACACATGACACGGTGTTCCCTGTGGCACCCTTGGAGTGGAAATCCAGCGGAAACGCTCTCGGGAACCGGCTGCCCGTCTCCAGAAGCACGGATGTGCACTGGCTCCCCGCCGTGGGCGCCCCGCTGGGGTCTGCCTGACGACTAGAGGTGCGCCCCCGGCGTGAAGGGGGGGGGCGCAGGCCTTCGTCTCGGGGGGAGGAGGTCCTGTAACAACCCGTGGCGGAGAGCAGGGCGTCTTGATGTGGTTAAAACAGCAGCAGTCACTCTGGGCGAGTCCAGACATCAGCCCAAGAGGCAGCTTCCTCGCGCTGCTACCCAGAAGTGCTTCCATTTACAATGTGAGCCTCGGCCCGGTGTGCTACACCCTGCCACCTCTCCTTCACTCCTGCCCCATGGAACAACGCCAGGCTCATGACCAGCACAGTTAAAAGTTACAAGTCTTCTCTGGCCTGAGCAGAAGTTCACCTTTTCCCACCCCCTGCTGCTGTCTACTGACGCAGTCATGAGCTTTTCCAGCATTGTGGCCATTTTTCCACAGATAAGCTGGAAGCATCTGAAGCTTTTGAGAAGTGTAGCTGGAGGCACAATTATTCAAACGCTCAGTATATCAAGGCTTCTGATGTAAGCAGATGCGTAACTCAGAACTGACCACGGAAAACGCCAAGAATCATAAACAGCGCCTAGAGAGAACACACAGGCATATATACAGGTGTGTCGACAGCCTTTACAGCTTCCTCTGAGTTTTCTAACAAAAAACACGTTGGATGTTATTGCACTGTTGCACATAGTAGAGCTGATATTACTAAGGCCTCCGACTCTAAATAACAGCAATTGTTACATGTATTTTCTCCCTTGTGTTTATACAGCAGTATAGCTTGAAACCGATACAGTATGTCTTAACCTTTTAACTGCCAGTTAAACAGCACTCTACTGCCCCCTGCTTTGCCATCACAGTATGACTGTACTCTAGAAGACCAAACAGCACTATGGGTTCAACATTTGAAAAGGGAAAGGGCATTTGAATAACTGGGCTGCTCAATACACCTACACCAACCTAGATTAAAAGGTTTAAAGCAAATGGTCCTTGTTTTCAGTTCCAGTCTATAACCCTTACACCCAGCCTGGGCTGAGCTTCCAATAAAAAAAAGAAAAATCTTTCTATCTTTCTATATGCTCTCTGCACACTGTGATCAGATTACGAATGAGAAAGCTTTCCGATTACAGATCAATACGTTAGAACAGTAACAGTAGTTCTCACAGCGATAAAAGAAAGATTTTCCGCATTCAGATTCAGTTCTGCATTCAAGCATATCATTATACTCTTCATAACAAAATCAGCCTGTTTCACTTCAAACGGGATTGAAAGGGATTTCTAAATAATATCATTAAGAATTTATTCTGTATGCACAGCCCAACACACAAACAAATACAAGCATGAGGAGCTGCAAAAAAACCTTTCCGTTCTGTCCGTCCTCTGGATAAAAAAGGCAGAATTCCTACTATGTCTCATGGACAGAGGAAAGTAAGAGAAAGCACATGAACATGCGAATCAGGAGCCAATTTTAAATGGAACAAAGGGATACAATCAATCATTTTGGGGGAAAAAACACGTGGACATTTTTCAAATTAGATCAAAGTATTCATGGGGAAGTATGAATTAAGTTCCAAAAAAAGGTTAGAGAAAAAAAATGAAGATACATACTTGTCCAAAAAGATGCTTAAATTGTAATCTGGAGATGATCTGGATGCCAAACAGGGGAAAAACAGTAGAAATAAGAGTTCACTGAAGTCATTTACATTGTATCATTGATCTACAAGGTAGAAATCTGCTTATCATTTTGACCATTGCTTTTACCAAGAACAAGAACAAAAGTTCCACATCAAAAAAAGGGGTACCATCTCACACAGGACATCCCAGGGGAAGATGCTGCTCCGAAGTCGGGAGTTTATACTTCTGAGTGTGCTCAGGGTGAACTGTGCAACAGAAGAACTAAAATACCAAAAGAAGCAAAAAACACAAACAGTCGCTTTACTGCACACAAACACACAACAGAGCTCTGTTCTCCGTTGGGCTGCTTGTCTGGGAGAATCCTGAAAGGGGCAGCCGACCCACACTGCTCTTTCCAGCTCGTACTGTAAGTCACTGGCAGTGAGGCGGCGTTCCTGCGTCCACAAAGCGGGCTTTTCTTTTGAGATTCAAGACGTTGACCCCGTGAAAAGGGAGCTTCGGTGACCTCTTCCTGCACCCTGAGAATCACCTCTGCAGGGCGAACATCCGCAGACACTGACTGGAGCAGCAGTAGGCGACAAAGCTCACCGTCGTCCTGCAACAAGGGAAAAAAAAAAACCCCATCACAAACGGCAAAACAAAAACACAGGAAGCAGAAAGGTGTGAAGCCGTGGCGCAATTCGGAAGAAGGATGCAGACCCCGAGCGCTGGAAGGCGTCCAGAATCTAGCAGCAGCTGAAACTCCAGCTTTATATCTTAAGGTGCCGTGTAATGATCTCGGCACTTTATCTCCATCTCTCATTTTTTTCAATTAGATAAGACCGTAAATTGCTGTCGGCTGTAATCACCCGCTGTCTGCTGTTGGCACCGCTCAGGGCCGCTCGGTGTCCATGTGCATTGATTGTACACTGCTGATTCAAACGTCCCTGGCTTGGACGTGCACAGACTGAGGGCTCGGGCTGGCAGACACACGCACAGCCCTCTTCAAACTCCTGCAGTATCTCAGGGGGTTCTCTGCTAATGAAAAGATTAGCCTATCCGCACGGCCTGAAATGGCAAAACGGGGGGACCTACTACATCGGCTCTGGGAATGATCCAAAACCAGGGACGTTTTGGAATTCAGGCCGTGATGGGGTTGCGGCATCACTGCCAGGGCTCCGACCTGTTTGGCCACACAGGCCGGAGCGGCCGGGCCGCGACAGGGCGAGGCACGCTGTTAATCACTGAGGTCAGCGGGGATGACCTTCGCCCACACAACAACATAAGCAAGAGATTCTATTAACACCATGGACCTCTACAACAACGCTGCAAACAGCCCGCAGTGGCCCCTGGGTCATGAAAAGTTGTTGGATTTCTCCCTTTCCCCCTCTTTTCTATTAAGTTCATCTGCTGCCGTTGGCTGGCTGCCCAGGTAATCGTGGCTGAGCTGTTATTTCACAAAACGGTGTTTCATGCAGACACAGCGAGGCACTGTGCAAACTCACAGCGTGAGGCGGCACACCCTACCCCTGGCAAAAGTAGTGCTGTCAAAGGAAATCAACTGCTTTCCCTTTCGATTAACTTTCCTCTGCTCAACAGAAGCTGAAAGGGAGTGCACATCACAGGGACAACCACTCAGGATCTCTGTGATGACTGACCTACCATGACTAAGGTGTAATTCTGGGGGGGGGGTTATTTTTTCCATGCGCACTGAAATAATAAACAAAGGAAACAATGAATACCTTTCCTGATCTCCGGCCTGCGAAAGAAAGGAAATGCAAAAAGAGAAAGGTAGCACTGGAGAGCAGAAGTCCTAACTTCAGAGACCAATGACTTCCTGTGAACGAGTTCCTAAATAAAAATCCCATGCGCGCTCACGCACACTTCTGCATAAACAAAGTGTGAAATCAGATCTAGTGGTGAGCCTGCTCCGCTGGCTGATCAGCTCTCCAGGTGTCTGCCGAGCAGCGCCCTGCTCCCAAGAGAGCCCCCGGTGATTACCTGCGGTGCACGCCGGCCAGGGCCGTCTCCCTCAGGGGGAAGAGCTTGGGGTAGACGATGGTAAACATGGGCTGGCTGCAGCGATGGCAGTGCCCCAGCGGACACTGCAGGAGCTCGAACAGGCTCTTGGGCAGCGAGATCGGGGGCAAGGCGTTCAGGGCTGCAGGGGGAGGAGAAAAGAAACAGACAACAACAACAGATGCGGTCATCAGCAGGCAGGGACACACAGCGCAAGAGACAGAACATGCAGAGTGTTTTTTGTACAGGCTAAGCAACTGCAATTATACATGGGTATTTCAGGTACAGCCAGTGCTGATCTCACAGTACTATCACAGATGCCTTTCTGCACGGCACTTCATCCCAGCTGTTGCACCTGAGACTGGTGCAGACTAGGCTCCTAGGAGTCATTTTCGTCTTTGCTGGGAGTCAACAGAGAGTTCCTGGATTTCGGGGCCAATTTTTAAGGAAGGCAGGCAACACCTTCATCATCTCAAAAATCTTCACAGCGTACACAGAGCAATAAACCTTGCATAATGTGCGCACACAATTTAATGGAGGGATAACACCTAGAGAGTCAACACCGGCTCAGTACCACTCCAAAATATTCCAGACGCAGTATTCCACTGCTCACTGCATTTTGGGTTTGACTAACCAGACAGTACAATCAGAAGGATGCCAGCTGTGCTTCCTTCAATGCTTTCAATGTGCAGTGCCAATTAGTACCAAGCCTACATCTCTACCAACGCCAACAGGAGTTCTCTTTTAACAGGTTCCACCTGGCTCCCTACGTTACAGAGGTCCTTTATGCCACCTTAAAGGCTACAAGGTTAAATGGTGTCCTTTATAAATGCCAAACGAATGCTTTACTCCATGCAAGACCTGATTTCTGGCATTTCTTAAATACAAACGATAAAAACCAGATAAAGGGTACACTTGTACAAAATAAAAATCCTGGCTGTTACAGGGTAAAGAACAATCCACAAACGCAAACTTCCGACTATTTGGCACAAGGTCTGTATCAAGCCAAGTTAAGGTTAAAATGCACTCAACAATAAATACCTGAACGCCCCTTGCACTTCTCAACAAGTAGCTTCCATTTATTGAAAAACTGAAATGAACTTTAGCTAAATGAAGGTAAGCCTGTGAAGAACTGTGTGCAATTTCAAATTTGACACAGCTAAGCCATATTCACTACAATATATCTGCCAGCGTTTCTCCTCAATTCAGATCAACAATTTCATTGTTGTGGTCGGACAGACATTTTTATACCTTTGCTTATGAAAAATGCTCTCCTCTGCCACAGTGATGTGCTTCCCCATCAGGGCCACATGCAACAGACAGTGATATATGCAACACGAAATGGCAAACCCTTGTGTGATTAAAAAAATAAATCTTTTCTCTGCAAATTTGTTTGACCACTCAGTAATGGTAATATAGTATTATTGCCTTAATCAAATTGCTCTCAGTAACTGTTTTGATTTCTCTTTTATATTGAAAAAGCAGGGACAAAAGTGGTAATATCTCTCTACAGTGCAGTGAAGCTAGAGACAAGAAGAATCTTTATTAAAGAAGACTTTATCCGTAACTTCATTCATGCAGAATGCACATTTACACACATAACTGTGCTTCCTGACTGCTTATCCTCTTTCAGCTAAGAGAAGTGAGGCATGCTGCACATCTGTTCAACAGAAGGGACTCTGATTTAAAGTCTTATTCAAGAAACATGGGACTCCCTGCTTTCTAGGTTGTACGTTTTTTTTGCATTCTTATATTTGCCAAATTTCTTAGCAGGTTACAAGGCTTGTAAACTCGACTCTGTAATGAGGAAACACGTTTCTTGCAAAAGGCTTGTGGCTTTGTGGTCTTTCTTCTTTAACCGAGATTTCCTTCCCAATGATTGGGTAAAGTGAAATGTTATACTGCTGCTATGGTCTAATAATTTAAATTATTAGAGGCAGATCCTGCTATTAGCATATAACACACAAAAGCACCACTATTAACTACAGGTGTTCAAGCCTGAAACTCCTCTCTCTGCACAGCAAATCATAGCAGCCAAAACGTGTGCAGAAGATACTATTTGGCCATTCAGTGCTCTGTATGAAGTCATCATGTAGGTACTGCCACTTGGGTCTTCTGGGATATCTTCAGTACCATGCCTTCTTTTCTTCCAGGACAGTTCACTTGCTGGTTTTATGGTTAAAGTTATAACAACAACCTGAAATATGGAATTACACAGCCATAATAAATCTTACAATAGTAAATCATGGTACTGCCAAAGTGTAGTGTAGGAAAACACAGTGAAAAGCACAACTGTGGGTCAGCTCAAGTGTAACAGTGTGCGAAGGAGGAAAAACCACAGTTATAGCACAGACTGACCATGGTCAGATTTCCTGAGGGACAGGGCAGGGGAGCGCAGTAGGAACCCAGAGGGGGAGCAGGATCAGGGAGTAGGGCCATGTTGCTCACCCTTGAGGAGGGGGCTGTACAAGGTGTGGAGAGCCCGCATGGTCAGTTCTTCGAGGGGCAGCACGTAGTCCCGCTCCGAGCCGACGGCCTTCACCTCCGCCGGCAGCGGGACGGTCAGCTCGCCCGTGTCAATGGCCAGCAGTCTCCCGTCGGGCACGTGCATGGCCAGGCCACACCTGCAGGCACGGCAGAGAGCTGCACTTCACTCAGACACAGGCCGGACCGCTGACCCGCCCAGACCCACCACCGGATTGCAAGCGCACTAGCGGCTCCGCAGACACTGAATGCTTGACTGCTAGCAAGGGGAAAGGCTGACCTTTCCTAAACACAGACAGAAATGAGTAAAACATTCACCTCTTGGCAAAATTGACTTGGATCTCAAAGTGACAAAGAGACGAAGACGGAGAGGCAGATGGAGGGTTGGATTCACCAAAAATGATGGACGGACAGGCCGGCTGAGACACACAGACAAGTGGATAAACAAATAAAAATGTGGAACACGAGTATGAAATGAGTAACATCTGCCACTGGGCCAGGATAACAAGAGTACAGAATCCATCTGCCTGGCGATTTGAACATGGTGCTGCTTGCGGTGAGGAACAGTCTGCTGAGCAGCGCAGTGGTTAGTACAAAGAGAGACAAGGCACAGGCAGGGGAGATGAAACTGTGCACTTACCCACTGCAGCCAATCACCTTGTTATACAGGTAGGATGGGAGGCCCTTCAGGTGAATGTTGTTGTCAACAAAGACAAACTGCAGCTCCCGAGACCGCCCTAGATCTGACAGAAACGGTCACATCATCAATCACTCGGGGCAGGCTGGCGCAGGATGCCCGCGTGCTGCTCTAGGGCACACCAAAACCGAGTCGCGGCTTGCCGCCCATTCCAATTTGAACGCACACATTTGTTTGTATTTGTTCCCATAATGACACCGCATGCAATGCATGTGATGGAGGGAACTAGAATTGAAAAAATTCACATTTATTCTAATTGGTATTCTAAATGACATTCATTTTGTAGCCCTGGGTAAAAATCGCCGAACCTGAAAAAGGTTGAAGTTGCATTTCTATCAACACTGAAACTTTGCTTGGGACTACACAAAATTTCCCAAATCAAACTTCCAAGGTTTTCCACACCTTAAAACATCCTGTACAGATTTCAATTTAAAGTGGTTTGGTCTTTGAACAAGGCTTAACCTACATTTACTAGCAAATTACAAAAGCAAATCACTTTTTGTTTACAAACGTTAATATACTTTTGTTTTCCTGACAAAAAAAACACACACACACTGAAGTTGTTAGGCTACAACAAACATCTCTGGCAGGTTTCTATTTAGGACAGGAAATTGCAAATGCGTGTTATGTAATTGTTTTGTGAATGAGTATTGTTTGTTTTCCGAGATGTATGTGTTCCAGCATGTTTCCACATTCAATGAGCAGAGATATTTGGCAATCAGACTCTCTCTGGTGACTGAAGTACAGAGTCAAGAGGTGGTGGTGGTGGTCATGGGCTGTTTAATTCCCTTGAAGTGCAGAACAGTCACTGTAATTTAAATGTCTGGACATTTTATGGGAGAGGGATGTGTTTGTCTAATACAGTCCTCACTTTCAGGGACTACTAATCTTTCTTTCTGGTTTTCCCTTCACATAACATATGCCATTACCTTTAGGACGACTAAAACAGACCTACAGCTCTAGGGCTCCTAAAGATAAAATGTGGTTTTAAAGTTGATTTCGCACTAAATGTCCACTCTGTAATAAAAGGAGTGTCACTGCTTCATTACTGAGTGCAGCAGGCAAGCCGCACTGACTGGGCACTCTCCACTCCTACCACAGATCAGGGCAGGGGAACAGGGTGCAGGGGACTAGTGTTGGCGAGCTGTCTGGACGAGTCACTGCACATTTCCTGCAATTCGTGCTCAAATAATAGAAGAAAAAGACAGATTTCAACAAATGCGTTCCCGTGAAAAAAACACCACTGAAACAAAACAAAAAGCCTAGTTGAAAATAAAACGCTTGAAAGGCGTTTCAGTCACCATCATCATTATTAGAAGATATTACTGTAACGTCACACTGCACGTGACAATTAAGCGTTTAAGGGGAACGTTAAACACCCACCCTGTCTTACGGTGCCCTGAGGATGATGATGACGACTCCGAGGTCTGAGTGGTAGAGCTCTATACTAACATTATGAAGATGTTGAGCTCAAACTGCCACCAGACTCAACTCCACCACCTCCTCGCCAGCCTGCAGCGACTCCCTCAATGCAGAGAGGACAGGGCGGACAGCAGACGGTCAACAACCTTCTATCTGCTGCTTCTCCTCCCCTCTAACTCAACAAACTCCCACTCCTCACTGGGACAGCATACACATCTCCCACTCCCACTGCCCACCGGGACAGCACACAAATCTCCCACTCCCACTGCCCACTGGGACAGCACACAAATCTCCCACTCCCACTGGGACAACATACACATCTCCCAGTCCCACTGCCCACTGGGACAGCATACACATCTCCCACTCCCACTGGGACA